GCATGCATTGATGTTGAGAAATTTTAATTGCAACAAAGAGCTAAGAGAAAGAGAGAGAGAGAGAGAGAGAGAGAGAGAGAGAGAGAGAGAGAAGCAGAGAGAAGAGAGAGAGAGAGAAGAGAGAGAGAGAGAGAGAGAGAGAGAGAGAGAGAGAGAAGGGAGTGGAGTTGAGCAAGAAGAGAATAAAGTTATTTTGATGTGTATGGCAAAACGAAATGGTGCATTTTTTTTGCACGAATACATCGTTTAAACTCTGAATTTTGATAAAAAAACATTTGTGGCACTCTGAATTATAATATCGGTCTTGTAGCACCTTAAACTTCATTTTTTGTAATAATTTCACACCTCATTATACTAAAAACAGTAAATTTTAAGGGTTTTTGACTTTTATATGCAAAAAATTGATTTGATATGTGGTTAATACAACTTTTGAAACAATTGAAACAATCAATTTTTTACGATTTTTTAAATTTTTTTAAATAAGTGTTTAATTAATCTAATTTATAAGTTAGGGTTGTTCATGAGTTCAAAATAAAAGTATAATAAAGTAACATTTTATTAAGTTTGAAGTCTACTTAATGAATCAAAATTATAAGTTGAAGGGTGCCATATAGTTTTTTTTTTTTTTTTTTTTTGAAAAATAAAGGGATGAATTTAACTATATCCACCTGCATTTTTTAAGGAACTTTGAGACCCTTGGGTAAACAAACCACAGTTTTTTTTTTTTTTTTTTTTGAAAAATAAAGGGATGAATTTATATATTCAGCCTGCATTTTTTAGAACTTTGAGACCTTGGGTAAAGAAACCCAAGGTAGTCAGATCGGACCGTAATAATAATTCTTTATTTTAACTCTAAAAGTGTTTTAGGGTGCAAATATATGTAAGTTTTAAAATGAGGTTCTTAAATTACAAAATTCATTTTAAAGTAATTGTACAATAAGTTAAATAGAAATTTTAGATCTTAAAACTAAGCATAAAAAATTGTTGTTAGCTTCATGTTTCTTTTATTTTCTTAATTACAATAACGTAAACACATTTTAACATCAATGTACAATGTATTTATGAATTAAAATTGTGCTAATGCTACCATTATTAGGAATGTTTCCTCCCCTAGTAATTGGTTACCTCCTCCATTAGAGTCTCTTAAATGTAATATAGATGCTGCCATTTTTTCTGATAGAAAATTAACTATCTCTGATGCCATCTTTCTGGTAATTTTGTTATTAACTTTTCTGGTTATGTTCATGGTGTTCTAAGAATGATTGAAGCATTGGTGCTTAGGAAGGTCTTATCTTACATCAAAAGTAGGAATTTAGCAAAGGTTAAAGTCAAAACTAATGCCAGGAGGTGCAAAGAAGGTGGGGTCATAGATCCAGTGTAGGTAAGTTTTTTCCAATCTAATAAGTATGTGGAAGGGAAAAAAACTTATCTAGATCGGGTGTACGACCCCACTTATAAACCAAATCAATGAAATTAAAAATTTTATTGATACAAGACTTGCATAGTTACACACTACATAGCCTTTTATTCAATTTGCAATAATGTTAATATTGCATAAGTTGGAAGACAAGCTAACTCTACTGCTCAGGCTTTAGCAAGGGTCGTGTGTTCATTTGCTAGTCTTCAAGAATGGAATGAGATTCCTACTAATATTCAATCTTTGATTGTAAAAAGATATCGAGTAGATTAATGAATAAAGTTGCTACTTCTATTTTTTTTTTTTTTTAAAAAAAAAGATTTAAATTTTCTCACAATAATTCGGCCTTCAATACTAAAAAAACGACTTTTTGTGCTCGTCTGGATTCTAAAACCCATAAGTTTCACAAAAATCCATAATTAGAATAGTATTTTTGAAATAAAATTAAATAATTTAAATTTCATCATTATTTAAAAAACTAATTTGGTAAAATTGAAATCATGATAAAATTTATGAATCTCGTAGATTTTGCCCTACTTTTCTCAACCGAACTAAAAAAAGTTGATAAATTTAAACTATTTAATTTATAAATTCAAACATCTTAACAGTTGTAATAAAATTTTATCTTATTTATCAAAAACAATTGTCAATAACATATTTCTAAAAATTCCACTTAATCTTCCAATTCCACGTGGCCTTGCAAAGACTTCAGACATTCTTATAATCTGTTAATTCATTTAATTTGAAATTGTTGATTTTAAGATTTATCTTGGAAGCCAATTTATCTTTTACTTTATGGAAGGGAGTCGTCAAAAACATTCTTCTAAAAAATTCATTTAATATTTATATCCCACACAACTCTTATAAAGATTTTTGGGACCTTCTTATCACTTTTTGACCCCTCTAACTTTTATATCTAAATTTTCAGATTAAACTTGAATTTTTAATTGTCACTTTGTCCTAAAATTATAATACTATTTTTTTTCATACAATTTATTAAGAATAGTTAGTTAAATTAATTTAACTATAATTATTTTTCTTATTTTTTCATATATATCTCTAAAGATTGTATATTAACATTTCCTTGCGACTTTCAAAATAGGTTCAACCATTAGTATATCAAAATTTTAGAATTAATTATCTTATTTTTTTTTCACTATCTAGTAAATTCAATAAATATTAGTTATTTTTACATGGACTATCAGTATAGTGTGAAAGTAAAAAAAATATTTTTGAAACTGTAAATGGGACTATTATTTTTAGAGTATTTATAAAACGAAAGTGAGACTAATTTTAAGACAGAGAGAGTAATAAATATTTATTTACTATAATAGAACTTCTTCTAATCCTCAAAATGCACTTTAAATGTTATTGTGCTGCCACTAACTGCAAACATAAGATTTAAGAAAGTAAAAATAAACAGTACAAAAACACTGTGCATGATTGTTTTTGTTTGAAGAAAAAACCATTAGGTCTTTTGTTTCTTTAAAAAAGAAGAAGTTGGTAACTAATTATAATCATAAAACCTGCTGTTAAGAGACAATGAATCTGCACACAAAGTGACAACAGTGGGACAAACAAAAGTCATATGCAAACCCTATCTATAAGGAGGAGAACAAGTGAATAGCCAAATAAAAAGTGGGACCAAAAAGTGTAAAAAAAAAAAAAAAATTAAAAAGAAAAGAAAAGCCCTAACCTCACTGCTTTATTAATTAACAACTACCACTATATATCTAACTTAATCAAAAAAAGATTTAACACTTTGAGCTAAATTACAAGGCAAATCCATGTGATGAGTCTATCCAATTAATGAAATTAAAGAAAGAGGAAGGTGCTGTGGTCCTTCACCTCCATTAGGATTATTTGTCTACATGTCATTGTTTGTCAACCATATACACCAAATTAAGACAGAAGAACCACCCAAAGCTAAAGACAAAAGGATACCCTCAACTGACTCCACCAACCTGGCCAATACATAGCCTTCATATAAATTATAAAACTCTATTTATTGAAATTGTATTCTTGTAGGTCCTATAGGTCACTAGTCACATGCCTACCCTCTCCAATTAATTAATTTCTTTTTAAGTAGTCATATATGTTAGACCTTAATTAATTAAGTAGTTTGAACTAATTTTAGGTTAAAGTAATGTTTAATAGAAGATTAACATTTAACTTATAATATTTTATAAAAAATTATTCAAACAGCTAATCGCTACAAAACATTAAATTTTCCTGAACATATCCTAAGTCTCAATTAACATTTTGAATATATAGTTACTTGCAGTCTTATTAGAGGTTAATGGATTCATATGATTTTGTTAACCAAAGTTTTCATTATAAAATCAAACTAATTAACATAAATTTCATTTCATTTGTGAATGAATTTTATGAAACATCCATTTGGAAATAAACTTTTATATTTGAATTATGTACATTTTAAATATATAATTTTATCAGTTTATATATAGAATTCATTAAATTCGTTTATACCATCAAACAAAAATCTTAAGGTATGTATTCTTTTTTCTTATTACTATATATTTAATTATTCAATGTGAAATTCGTTCACCAATTTTCTTTTTAATATTTAGACAAGCTAAGAGGGTAAGTATATATATAAAACCTCCCTGTAATCTCAAGCAAGATTCAAATATCAAATACTTTGACAAGTATTCTAAGCTTTCATTTCCTTGTGTCACATGAGTACTGCAATTGTATGGATTCTTATTACAACTATAATAAGAATAAAATTTCTTTTCATAAAAAAAAGTTAATTATTAATCCTATAATTAATATAAATATCAATTATTTATATAATAATGATTGTAAAGCAGTGCTATTAAATTCGGCCTGAGCATGGAACTTGCCAAAGAAGTAGATAGATGAGTTATTGGTTTAGTTAATGGACCATGAAAATATTAATATATATTAATTAATAATTATAATTCAAATTATAATATAAATAAAATATCAAAATATTGGGTCGGCTCAATTGGATATGTATGGATGTATTAGTTCAATTACGGGTCAACCGATTTAATTCGGTTCTCTTCTTAAATGGTTAAAAGCAAAATTAGTCTAATTTTGATGCCCGTTCTCCGGATTGACCCGCGGGCTCGGGCAGATTTAATAACTATATATATTTATAAGTATTTTCATTGTAATCTAAATTAATTATACATATATAGTTATACAGACACACAAGCAATCATGAACAGCCAATATTATGACTCAAATGAACAAAAGCACATGTTTGCTTTTGTAAAGTAGATTAAGAAATTAACGATGCATGTTAGTTTCTGTTGATTTTCCTCCCAACCACTTTGTAGGGTTGACCTTAAAAACAATTTCTTTGAGATAATTAATATTAAAACATAAACTCAATATATTATTGAATATGTTGGAGTTTTGATTGTATCAAAAGACTCAACAATGGTCCCCTTTTATATTTCATTTTTAATTATTATTAATTATTTATTATATAAACTTATAGAGAGAGAGAGAGAGAGAGAGAGAGAGAGAGAGAGAGGCGAGATGTCATTGTCCATAGCTGTAACAGACGAACCAAAACCCACCATTAAATACTCCATCTATGACACAGTAGTCCAAAAGAGAGAGCTAGAGAAAGAGAAGCTACAGAAAGAGTGAAAGTTTTTATAAATGGAGAGAGAGAGAGAGAGAGAGAGAGAGTCACGAGGATTATATTCCTCTACCCGTAAGACATGCATGGCTCTCGTGCTTTTTCTTTGTCCAATTAATCTTTATATCTTTATAAGATCTCTTCTTCTTCTTCTTCTTCTGTTTTCTTTTAGTTTCAAGAAAGACTCGACCTGACCTGACCTCACCTGCAAATTCTATCCAAACCCATTTTGATGTTATGGATTAAATCGATTGATTCTAACCAACGATCATTTTCTTGTTTGATATGTTGGTTTGAGAGGTTGAAGCTGCCAGCATGATCTGGTAATGAATACCAACATACCTATATATATTTTAACCAACGATCATTTTCTTGTTTGATATGTTGGTTTGAGAGGTTGAAGCTGCCAGCATGGAATCTGGTAATGAAATACCCACATACCTTATAGTATATATATATATAAATATATTGTATATTACTCCTTTTCTTTTCTTTTGTATTCTTTTTTTTTTTTTCATATATATATATATATATATGTATATTACTCTTTTTCTTTTCTTTTTGTATTCTTTTTTTTTCTTTTCTAATTACTACTATAAATAAATAGATAAGATATAAATATAGCTACAAATATGTTTATTACACACAAATGAATTTTTGTAAATTGTGTTACCTGTTTTGAGTAAATAAAAATATGTGGGGTTTTCAGCAAAGTTATATCTATATGTCTAATAAACCTAATTTGATCCATCTACAAAAAATATACCCATTTGAACTTAGGTATATGTATATATGTATTCCATCATCAGGTCATCTTGCAGCTTCAATCACTCAATCATCAACAATGAAAGAATATCTGAAACAATGCTTATGAACCTTCAGGTAATTGATTCTTTTATTTATCTAGATTTAGTACTAAATTGCTTAATTTTTTCATTCAATCTCTTTATTTTTCATCTAATATTGAGCAATTATATACATATGAAGACAACACTATACTGCCTATCCAAGTCAAAGCCCTCTCTGTGAAGTTAGTTCTTAACCTACCCATTAAATCCAGCTATATATGTCTTTTATGTCAACTTAAAAATGTCAAGAGAGAGAATGTTATTTATTATTTATTTTTCTTGGCTTGGTTGGTAATTAATATCTAGAATCAATAAATTCACAAGTCAAAAGAAAGACATGTATGCTATACCTAATTTATTTCAGACAATGTATTTTGCTATTGTAATAAATTTATAATAATTTTTTATGGTCATATATCCAATTCCAGGCTTATAAAAATGTTCTGATTAAACAAAGGTGTGAAACCAGTTGAACAGTAGACAAAAGATGCTATGTTAATTGTATATAAGGCAAAATGTCTAAGTTTGATGGTTCATGGCCCACCATTTATTAATTAATTAACATTTCTGATTAGACCATTAGCACTGGAAGATTGTTTAAAATGCATAAGCATTTGTTGGATCCATTGTTGGCATTTTCTCTGTTTGTTTGTACTAAACAAATTCTTAATCCAACAATAATTATTAATTAGTCACTTTAACTGTCACCCTTTTTACCTATCTATCCATCCTTAGCACCACATTAGTGATTATGTTTTATATTTTCGTTTGTGTTATCTATTGTTCCTAGAGATAATGCAATGCATCATAAATAAGTTTTATAAAATTCAAATTAACTTGGTCTAATGGTTGAAATACACTAGATTCATTATAGTGATCGCAAGATCAAGTATTACTCTCGAGACTAAAATGAATTAATTTCTCGTCTAACAGTGAAATATATACATAGATGTATTGAGATTTTATCGTGGACATATACATTTGTGCATACACATATTAATCAGCTGTCATAAATGTCTGTTTGTTTCGGTAAGAGACAAGCATGTATATAGCTAGCTTTTCTGGCTTATTTTGTTATATAGGGGAACCACAAGCTTTAAGGCTCTTCTTTTCTTGGAAGGACACTTCCAGTTATGATTTCTTGGCTACTTCCAAATTTGGCCAAGAACTGAGACAACAAATGTGAACTACCTATTGTTCTTGTTCATAACACTTGAGACTTACATATATAATTTCTAGTTATATGAGAAAGTCTCCTTCTTTTTGTACACACCATCTATTGAATGACCTTTTCAGAATGTATATATTGAATGATAATTAGCTCTCGAGTGTTGATTTAAAAAATCAAATTCTTTTTAACAAAATGAGAAGCAAATTCACTTTAGCAAACCATTAAGGTTTTTGTATATATAAGTTTGTTCTTGGATGTTATATAGAGGAATTACATCTCTTACTTGTAGTATATAAGAGGAAGTAATTTGATTTTGAATTTGGATAAATTCTTCTAAAATTTCTGATGTATCAAAAATTAGTTATTTTTGTAGAATTAATTGTTGGAATTGTATGATGAAATTATATTTAAATCTTTTATCTTGCTCTTTCTCTTAAATTTTTCTCTAATTTTACCTCGATTGTTTTAAATATTATCATTGTAATATTTTTGTTTAGAGATCAAACGTTTTATAATTCATAAGTTATGCCTTTTATCAGTACTCTATTTGTAGCTTGCACAGAAGTTTTTTAAAGAATAATCACTTTGTTTATTTTGAACATCATATAATATATAAGTTATATGATAATTTTTCTTGAACATCATATATATGAAAAATAGAGTCATACAAAATTAGGAAGATAGAGTTCGCATTAATTAAGAATATAGACTTCTAGCCCATATAAGACATCCACTAATTTCATAACATTCTCTCTTTGATGTCCAATTGTCCAAGAATATACCTTGTCATGCTATAAATCTATAGAGCGAAAGACAATGGAAACCACCACTCCAAATCTCCCTATCCTACCTTCCAAAACAACCGCACCTTCCGTTGAACCTTAACACCACCATCACCCCTTGTCCTTCTCTCTTAGGTTGTTCGAGCACATCAGGTGCACCTCTTATTGCACCATAAGATTGTGTCAGACATGAACCTAGGACTGTCCTTCTTGGCGCACGTCCTGAAACAGTTGTTCTTGTCCAACCTACTTCACAAGAAGAGGTTTTATGCATTTACTTTTGCAATTTCCCTAAAAATTGGAATGCATTAAGCCTTAAAAATCAATGTTCTTGCTTTGCTAGTGTACTGGATATTTTTATCTCCACCAAAAGGAATAAAATGAACCAATAATTCAGATCTGTTTTCCGAAGAAAGAAGTTGATGCTCATGTAGCAAAGGTTATTTCGAATCTGTGGACTAGCTCTTACAAACTCTGGGCCTCAGTTGCAAAGTTTGACAAAAAAATAAAACCAAAGAACCACCTTATTCCCAATAGAAAATAGTTCAAATCCAGTTCGAGGGATCATGGGAGTTACCTAGAAGCAACCACAACTCCTCATTTAGCGAAGGAGAAGATTCAGATGAAATTTGACAAGGAACATCCTTTTAAAGTTAGAAAAGTCAATGAAGCACTTCTAGTATGGTGGAATTTCAAATATTCCACCACCGAGGAAAATAGGAAGTGGTTTGAGTGTTGTGCTATTCGATGGCTAAAAGATCTAGACATGTTTCACTGTACCAGAAAAGAATTGGCTATGCTACTTTCTAAAGCCTCTCTATTAGGAGGTTCTAGGGTTCTAATCCAATTTTCTTCGCAGTCAGAAGCTAGCAATTTGTCCAAAACACTGAACTTCAGTCAAAATGCATGGTTCTCCTTCTATCGTATATGGGAGCCAAATCTAAGATTCACCTTCGACAGAAGTGTTTGGTTAATATGTGAAGGCTTTCCACTTTTGGCTTGGAATCAAAAGTTCTTTTCCTGTATTGGTTATAGCATGGGATTACTATTAAAAATAGATGAGGAAACAATCTCAAAGGCACACTTAGACTTGGGAAGGATTAGAGTCCAAACAAAATATCCAAATCCCATAAACACTACTCTTTCGGTGTTCATTGATAATGAAAGTTACACCATTAGAGTTTTTGAAGAGAATTCATCTTTTCTCAATTCTAAAACAGTTATCCCAGTTTTATCATCTTGGTGGGAAAATGCTTCAATTAACTCATTTAACTCATTTGCAGAAGAAGATGTTGGCAATAATATAAATTACTTAATTATGAACAATCACAATACTCAAATACAAGCACTCAATTATGGAATAATATTACAAGGGAGCCACACTCACAACTCACTTTTTTTTTTTTTTTTTTTTTTTAAATTATTTCATGTATGAACAATCACAATACTCAAATACAAGCACTCAAATTAATGGAATAATATTACAAGGGAGCACACTCACAATCAACTTTTTTTTTTTTTTTTTTTTTGTATAATTCACACACATAGAAGAGAAAACTAATCTCTCTATATCTATTTCATTCATTCGTAATTTACACATATATATAGGCAATATGATTGGTGTCTTAAATCCACTTTGGTAGCCAATGGTCCAAGTTAGGCACCTCCATTGATTATACTTTCACCAACCAAGACTTTTGGCGGGCGTCGAATCCGCCAAAAATAATTAACCTGCTCTCCTACAAAATAAAACTTGTAAATATGGTGAGAATGGTCGAACCCTAGGGATGAGCTTTGTCGAAAATAAACTAGAACTGAAAATAAAATTAAAAACAGAAATTGAAACGGGGGAATTTAATAATCGAACTAAACGAATTAAAATTAAATCAAAGAAATAAATGCAATAAAATTAAAAATTGAACCTGAACAATTGAAAGTAAATTCAGCCAAGGCATACCGCGGTTCGAAGGTTTGATTCGATTGATCATTGACTCAAGATTAATTCCTTAATTCATATTACAGACAAGTTATAGCCAGGAAGAACGTCGACCCAACCAATTCTACCGTAGGAATAGGTTGCTAAGATACGATCTAATAACAACCCCTAATTAATTAGCAATCAATTAGCCATCATAAGTAACGCACAACAGCTTTAAAATCTAATAGAACCCTGCCCAGATTAACAGAAACTACGAGCATCCATTTAAATCTGATTATATTCTTTCTTAATACAATCTAAAAAGTTCTACCCAATTAAGTTATATTAATTACTACTGCATTAACCTAACCAAACAATTACGAATTGGATTACGCCGAATAGCTATGGAAATTTCTACCAAACAACATAACGGGCCCTGTTAAATCATTCAATAGAATTTCGCTAGGGGATATATTTTCCCAATAAATCACAGAAAGAATATAAATGCAGTAGAATAAAGAAATTCAATTAAGTTCAATATGCAGTAGAATAAAGAAATTCAATTAAGTTCAATATAATCTCACAATCGAAATCAAACTTCTACCTTAGTTTAGCCTTAACTGAACAGAACGTTTAGCCACACATGGCTATGGAAGAAAACATCATCAAAAGAATTGAAAGTTCGGCATAAATCTCTCAAAAATTTTGTAAAATTCGTCGCAACCCAAGGGAGGCAAAAGATGATCCACAAAACGACCTAATTTCGACTTAAATACCCCCTAGAAAGTGACCTAATTTCGACTTAAATACCCCCTAGAAAGTGGGGTCCACTAATACAATAAAAATACCCACTAAAAACTGTGTCTAATATCATCATGTGGCTGTAAAACGTGCTGGAATTAGTTGAAGAAGTCGTGACCAGCCAAAAATATCACAATCAGTTCGCTGGTCTGATTTCCTGCTTAGTCTTGCCCAAGGCTAAGAGCCTAACAGCTTGTATTTTTGTTCCAAAATTCCAGCAGCTCCTTCCTTGCTCCAAAACATTTCAATTGTGCTCCTTTTTGCTTCATTCATATCAAATCCAACTTTTCCTAGCATAAAAAAACAAAATAAATCAAGTTAAAAACCACCTCTTTTAAGCACAAAAATGACACCCAATATTAACACCAAAATAGTAACAATAAGTATCATGTCTTGTAAATATTAAGTACATTATTAATATAAACAGCATCAGCATGATATAAGAGTCTGTATCCATTATTATATCAGCATGACAGGGCATAAAGTCAACCAGTTTGTAGCATCTCGGTTTGGTTCATTCGGGTTAACGGGTGGACCGGGAAGGGATGTTACAACGCAACATCGCAATTGGATACCAAACTGTCAAAATCATCCAATCATCGTGAACTCAATCGAAAAAGGTTACACTAAGAATTCTTAAAACACTCACGCACACATACGAAGCTTGAATCAACAAATGTTTTATCGAGCAATAATCAAAGCATATAAAATAAAATACATTTTCGTAGCTTCAAGAAAATAAGATAATGAACAACCATAAGCTCTCCTCGCGGTTCCCTCTCCACTAATGTAGGACAAGTCTCAACTAAGGATCATTAGGTTTTTTATATGGGTTAGGCTAGGGTAATGGTTACAAAAGAAAAGGATAATGTAAGGCTAGAGAGTAATAAGAAAACAAGTCTTTCACATTAGGTTCAAAGAGCAATGCGCGCTATTAACTTTAATGTTTAGATGGCAACAAATGCAACTTCACAAAACAAAACATAACATAACATTGCAGCCTTTTCCTCTATTTTTCTTTTTTTTTTTTTTTTTTGATTTTATGGCTGCTGTTTATTTATTCTTTCTTCCTTTCTTAGGTTCAAAGAGCAATGCACGTTATTAACTTTAATGCTTAGATGGCAACAAATGCAACTTCACAAAACAAAAGATAACATTGCAGCCTTTTCCTCTATTTTTCCCCCTTTTTTTTTTGGCTGCTGTTTATTTATTCTCTCTTCCTTTTTTTTTTTTTCTTTTTTTCTATTTCTTTTCTGATTTTCTTTCCCTTTTTTTTTCTGGAATTTTTTTTTCGACATCACAACGACTAATTACATATAAGTCGCTATGACTATTTATTCCAAAACACAAACATAAACACGAAACAAAAATGCATTCGCACCAAAACTTGAAACTTAAACATGCATGCTCAACAACGATTAAAAAGAGCATTTCCTTGTTCAAAAGTGGTGGGCAAAGAGCTTTTTGGGTTATATGGTTATATTGGGGGTTATGAAAAGAATTTGGAAACACGCATTTAGCATGCTTCGTAGGCTAGAAGGGGTAAAAAGGCAACATCAAGGTGGGAAAACGTAAAAGGGATTAGTGAATCGGCCAAAGAATACCTAGATCATTTCCAAAGTCGAGACTCATCTAGGATTTCGCCTCAAGGGAACTTAGAAGAAAGTTCTAATGTTCGGAATCTATCCTAAATTTTTGCTTTGACAATTGCTCTAAAAAACGCTTATCAAAAGAGGCTAAGTTTTGTTGCTCTCAAAAACACTTATCAAAAGAGGCTAAGTTTCGAAAACCCGATTTGAGAATTCAAAGTGTAAACAATTTAAACCAAGATTCACGAGTGCAATGACGGTCAATTTCAAGTTATGGTTTTCGCTTGCTAAGTCTTGTTGTCTAGGGCTCTCACAATAGTCAGACCAAGTTTCAAAAGCAAAGTTATCCTCTCTAGATATCCTATAAATTCTAAATCATGTTTAAAGACACAATTAAGTCCCAGAGTAATCCCAAATGCAGCTCAAAAATAAAAAATTTTACTCAAAATATTCATGGGATAAGTGGTAAATAAAAACATAATAAGGATTTTACTCAGAAATATTCATAGGGATAAGTGGTAAAGTAAACTCTAGGAGCCATCTTTTTATTACAGAAAACAGTCAAAACTAGCCGGTCAAACGTGGTTTATAGCCAATATGGCGACATGGCAGGCAGCACGTAAAACATAGCTAGCAGTACTCAGAGAACCAACACATGGCAGCTAAAATTAAAAATTTCAGCAAAGATCGGTCACATTACCCTCCCCACACTTACTTCCACAACATTTGTTCGTCTCATGTTGGACTCACAGGCTTACATGTACAATAAACAGGGTTAAGAGGTTGGATGAGGAAAACTGCCTGGTTTGTATGATCAGGGAACTGCCCTGTATCTAGCCTTAGAATATAGCTTCTTGGCTTTCATTGATGGCAGGCCTGAAGATGCGACTGTAAGAAGCCACAAAACAACACAACCAAAAAGAAAAACAAAAGTAACAAAATGCAAGAACACAATGGTTTTGTTAGTCACTGTGGCAAATGTTATTCAGCCTTCTATTACCCTCAAAGACAATCAAATTTCCAATACTGAACATGGCATATTTCCAATCCCACCAACTTCTGCAATTCAATCAATTGGGTTTGATGTTGTACCTATTACTCTCAATACTGAACATGGCATTAAAACAACATAGCAAAACAAGCAAGCAAACTTAGTTGAAACAATGACAACAGATTCTAAGTTTTAAGAGCTTATATTCAGAATACTAATTTTAAACCCAATAAATTGATCCCAAATCGCATTGAACACTGAATTTAGTCAATAAAAGCCTAGAATTAAACCCAACTCAGAATATTCAGCAATCGAACTCCACTCAGTTATCAATTCCAACTCCAATTTAAACAAAATTCGAATTATCAACAAGCAAGAAAATTATAAAAACTTCCCCTTCAGCAAGCAAGATGCAAGTTAAACAAATAAAACTTCCAAATAAGACAAACAAACCCTAATCATGAATGTGCTCAAATAACTATTGCAGGCCAAACATATCTATAATATAGTCCTAAGTTCTTCCCTAATTCAATTCAGCAACAAATTTTTGATTAACTAAAAAAAAGAAACCCAAATTGGAAATCAAGACAAGTCAGTAATTGGAGCAGCACGAACACTATCTTTGAAATCAACGAGGAGCACAGACACTATCTTAAATCACGATTCTATTCTAATAGGAAGTAAATTAATACCTGTTGCTGAAGTTGGCACGGAGAGGAATCAGATGAGGAAGGAAGACGCTGCTGTTGGGTTTTTGCGTCGCACTGTAGAGTGACGTAGGATTGGGCTAAGGACGAAAAGAAAGTCTGTTTGGGTTTTAGGTCGTCGATCGGAGTGAAAAAATTCTTGTCGCCGTTCTTCAGAACTCCTGCCATCGTTCAAGACTCTCAGCCAACGCAGATTTCGTCCAAAGAGCGCCTGCTGCCCCTGTTTGGGTTCTCTTATGCTCGTCCCCCCCCTCCTCTAGTTTGGGTTTCATCTAGTTCTCGCAGTCTTTTTTTTTTCTTTTGTTTTCTTTGCAGTTAGCCGGCACAAAATGATAACCGAGTTATTATTATATTATTATTAATTTTTACACACAGTATAATAACAAAGTACTGAATAAAAAAAATAAAAAAAAAGTCAAAATATAACCCCTCATTGCTTAAAATGAATAAATCTCTCTATAAATCTCACCCCAACGAACACAATAAAAATACCAAAATAAAACAATTTTAACCATGCCATTTTAAAACCGCCATAAGAAGATTTGCTATAGGGAACTCTTTCGGATACCGCGGATGAAAAACACAGTGTCCCAGGTTAGGTGACGACACCCTTCCAATGGAAATATATTTTTTTTTTTTTTTTTTACAAAAAAAAAAAAAAAATGAAGAAGAAATAAAATATATTGGAAAATTCAGAAGAAAGAAAAAAAAATAAATAGAAATGAAATGATGGCAAAAACGTAAATGCCTTGGGTGAGTTGCCTCCCAGTAATCGCTTGATTTAACGTCTCCGCAGACCTTTTCTTTGAGCTAATCCCAGCTGTAAGCTCCCCCACTGACATTAACTTAGCGAGCCTCAAATTCTCCGATTGAGTTAGCTCCCAAATACTTCATAAATGGCTTTCAATCGATATGTCTCATTGTCAACCTTAAAAATTTTATTGGTCTCACCATAGAACTTGAATTTCAACTGCAACATGAGCAAAACATTAGTATACGAACAAATGACCAAGTGTCCATCTGGACCTTAACTAAGCCAGGAAATAATTTGAGTTTAGAATGAATAATAGAACTTTTTGACACAGAACTAGCAAAGCTCTTCCTGGATATCATAGCCATCATAAGGAAATGCTTAGGTCTCTCTTGTTGATATTCCTGGAGCTTTCAATAAAGCGTTCCATTGACGAATTTCCTCAGCTCTTGCAATTGTAATTTTCGGTTATCACCAAAGCTTTCAACCATACTTGCAATATGCAGCGCTGATTAGTCCCAAAATGACGCTGTGGCTCGGGCCTCGGGTGCTCCACTCGACAGGCAAAATGACTATGGTTTGCCCATATACTAAGGCGATAAAGGGTGAACATTGCCGTATCTGGAGTGTCATTATAACGGCTGTCCACTAATAAGGCCCATAGAAGCGTCAGTACCAGCCTGAACGCTCCAATCTTTATCTATTAGGACTCACAGTTTATCTTTTCCAGTAATAGACTTACACTTCCCTATTCGACACTTCTGCTTGTCGCACTTGTCCTGCGGGTGGTAGGCCTGTAGACTTCACTTCCCTATTCGAAACTTCTGCTTATCCACTTGTCTGCGGGTGGTAGGCTGTAGAGACACGATGCGTAATACCATACTTCTTGAACAGATTCTCCATAATCTTGTTACAGAAATGAGTTCCTCGATCACTTATAATTGCTCTTGAAATTCCAAGCCGAGAAAAGATATGGCTCTTGACAAAATTCACTACTGTCTTCGCATCATCAGTCCGAGTTGCCTTAGCTTCAACCCATTTGGACACGTAATCCATTGCCAACAATATGTAGCTGTTCCCGAATGATGATGGGAATGGCCCCATAAAATCTATACCCCACACATCAAAAATCTCACAAATAAGAATAGAGGTAAGGGGCATCTGATCTCTACGACTCAAATTACCTGTCTTTTGGCAATTTTCGCAAGATTTGCAATAAATGTACGAGTCTTTAAACATTGATGGCCAGAAA